TATCTTTATCATATACATGCTATTTATACATATATATCTCCTTATCAAATAATATATACTATTTATTGATATAATATATAATGCATCTATGTACAACGCATATTGTAAATATGCTACATTTTTTATTTAAGAATGCAATGAAACTGTCATTCCATAATACTTACTATAGATCCACCTCATATCCCAATGGCTACTGAAATTCTATTATTAATTCTAATATTAAAACCTAAATTGCATAGTACTTCTAACAGCAGATGTTCAAGTGGCCTCTGCTTTCTTACTACCATAAACAATACAAAGATGAATATTTTACAAAGTTGCCCACTTATCTGTAGATTTACATATAAAATTCCCTAACAGTGGAAGTTTTATACACATTATTTTTCAGGTCTTGATATTGGCTTGGCATGCTCTCAAACAAAAATAATATCTGCTGCCATTTCCACCCGTGGTTTATGAGAGCCCTCTTTCAATACTCAGTGTTGACACAACCCAACTCTCAACTAGAGGGTCAAGCTAGCAAGATTGGCAGCTCAAACCCCACTTCTACATTCTGTGGCTTGTACAGCAAAAGAGAAATTAACCGGTGCTCCCCAGAATGTAGCCTGTTGAAGAAGCTGTCTTGTGCTTGTACTGTAAGGAACAGTCAGAGCAAATTAAACTTAAGTTCTGAACTTCTATCTTCGGGCATCAGACGCGTAGCTGGGTACAGTCAGACCAACAACTTCAGGTTTCATTACATTCCATAGCCTCACAAAGCAAGTGAGTTAGAGAAATATGGCACCAAGTGTGCAGTGGTTCATACATATTCAGGGCACGATGGGTGGGAGAAGTTTTTGATGGGTTCACTCAGCAAGATCCAGAGGGGACCATCTGGTTGGAAAAAGAGGCTGAAAACACCTTTAATTTTCCAGTGATATTGAGTTTCATAACTGACTCTGGTCTGCCTCAAGTAGGGAACAATCACGTTGAAAATGTCAGCTCCCAGGTAACCAGGGACCTGGATACACAGTGGGGCGACTCTCACAGTACTTTCCATTGTAGGGAGGATTTCCTTCAAACCTGGACCCTCAAAAGGAGATATGGCTGCGTATACAATGTTGGTTATACTGGTGAAATACTGGGAGCAGGACTATTGGATGGGGCGTTCTCGTGTCTCCTTGCAGATAAGAAGTTGTCTCAGCAGTGGATGTTCAGCAGTATTATTTGTGAGTGTGATGTTCAAAGATTGTTTCCTGGGGTATGTTTGGTGAAGGCTTGTGTGTGTGTGTGCGTGTGTGTGTGTGTGTGTTTGCAGACCTCAGTAGGAAGCCAGGCATGCAGATATGTGATGACTAGAGATTGCCCAGATGTTAGATAGCATTTTGGATTTTTTGAAATAACTTCATTTTGTTACTTTGGAACTTTGTTGACAATTTTTGACCAGAAATTTAAATTTTTCTGAAATGTGATTATCGCCTTGCAGCCTGTATTCGTTTGATTTGCCTTAGCTGGTTGTAAACTTAACTGACGCTTAAAAAGATGTGCATTTAGGGGTCAATTGAGTATAGTTGTAGCAAGTGTAGAAAACAAAATCCTAGTCCTTGAACCAGGACCTAACTCTGCCACTTGCATCTCCATGCCTCAGTTTCTGCAAATTTAAGGTGGTGATAATTAAAGCGATTGACTCCATAGAGGTGCTGAGAAGAGTGACTACATCAAAACACAGGAGCATGTGAAAAGATGCCTGGCACACAGTAAGGACTGTATGGGTGATGCTAATTTATTATTAGCAACATGCCTCAAATTTGCTTATGTTTAAAAACTGATAAAATTATTTATTGGTGTATTAGTTTCCTGTGGCTGCTGTATCTAATTACCACAAACTCAGTGGCTTATAATGATAGACACTTTTTATCCTATAATTCTGGACATCACAAGTCTGAAATTGCTCACACTGGCCTAAAATCAATGTGTCAGGAGCACTACATTCCTTTCTGAAGACTTTAGAATGGGATTCATTTCCTAGCCTTTTTCAGATTCTAGAGACCACTTAATTTCTTGCCTCTTCTTCATCTTCAAAGCCAGCATTTGAATCACTTGGACCTCTGTTCCTAATTTCACATGTCCTCCTCTGACTACTGTCCCCCTTGTACTTACATCATGCATAACACTTGATTCCAGAATAATCTCTTCATCTCACTTTTCCCAGCTTAGTCACATCTGCAAAGTCTCTTTTGCCAAACAAGGGAATATATTCATAGTCTGTGGGTTAAAACATAAGGATCTTTAAGTAGGGACGAGGACATTATTCTGCCTAGCAAAATTGATTTTAATACTAAGTTAAATCTATTATAGGTTTATCAAATTTAATAGAATACAAAATTGATAGTAGCATTTTTTAAGACTCAATTTTTTTGACAATAACAGACAGATGGAAACTCGATGCTAAGAAAACTAATGCACAGTGATTTTCTTATTACTGGCACATCATAGGAAGAATTTGAACTCTATTATTAACATCCACAATGCAATCTCTGCATTGATAATAACATCTGAAGCTACAGTCGCCTTTTAAACAGTAATTGGAACATAGTGAATAAAGAGCTGTCACAACAAGTACAGATTCAGAAGAGAGGAAAAACGGTGAGTCCCTTGTTTGCTGTAAATTATGCTGACATGTGATTCTAAGACAGTATGTTGATTTTAAGTCACAGAGTAATGTCTAAAATTTATATGCAAAATTGAGATGATTAAGATGTAAAATTTTTATTGCTGCATAATCTTAGAGATATGTGATGTATTTCTATTTCTGAGAACTAAGTTTCTTACCAGAAAATGTAGGTAGATGATATTTTATGGCACATTCATTTTCCAGTGAAGATAAACACAAGGACCTGACACTTAAAATATTTTATTTCCCTTTTGCATGTTTTATGGAAAATACCCTGGTGTATTTTAAAGGAATTCTACTAGAAATGCATTATTTAAACAAGCACAAGAAAAAATAATTCCATTTTTCTAGACTGTATACGTTTAATAATCATTCATTTAAATATTCAAGAAATATTTACCATGTGCCAGACATTCTTTTATATTCTGGAAGCACACATGAAACAAAATAAGCAAACATCCCTGCTTATATTGAGCTTACTGTTTATGGCAGGAAGCAAAAACAAAATAGAATGAGTATACATGTCAGATGGTATTAAGGAACATGAAAAGATAAAGTCATCAAGACTTACCAGAACAGGCCCCTCTGAAAGATGGGTTTTGAACAAAGCCCTGAAAGACATGAAGGACAAACACACAGATGTGAGGAGGAGACTCAGTCCTGGGTACAATAGAGGCAAAGGGCCCAGGTTAGGGACTCCCCCAGAATGGGGACAAGGATCAGCAAGGAGGCTAGGGGAGATGCAGCACCAGGGTAAACACACTGGAGGAGGCGGGAGATAATTTCAGAGGGTGAAAAGGTAACAACATGATGGGCTTTGAAGTAGGATATGAAGTGCCATAGCAGAATTTTCAGCAGAGAGAGATCTGGTCTGATGTAGGTTTCTCAATGTGACTTTTCTCTGCTGAGATCATACTAAAAGCATTCAAGAGAGAGAACAGGGAGACAGTGGGAAAGCTACGGGAATAACCCAGGTGAAATATGACAACTAAAACATTTCATTCGTGAGGCCCCAAGAAATGTCTTAACCCTGTGTGATACTGTGATTCATGACAAGAAATATATATTTGGTCTTTGTCCCCATTCCTGGCACAGAGCCCCTAAAACCATTCATAAATAATAAGAGCTATGCAGGTGTCTTTTATTATTCATAATAAGCTGCTTCCAACTACACCTGAGTTTATGTTAATGCGATAACTTATGGAAAGCCTCTAGCGATGGGAGATGTTTGCCAGGGAACTAACCATATGATTAGAGGCTAGGAACTTTTACATTCCACATCCCAGATCTCCTAGGAGAGGAGAGAAGTTGAGGTCTAATTAATCATGAATGGCCAATGATTTAATCAGTCATGCCTAAATAACAAATCCCCATAAAAGTCCAAAGAAAAGAATGCAGAGGGATAGTTTGGTGTACACGTGGAGGAGCTAGGAGGGTGGCCCACCCAGAGAGCACAAAAATCCCACACCCCTCCCCACATATTTACACCATGCATATCTTCTACCTGGTAGTTCCTGAGTTACATACTACTCAGTCTAGAAGGAAAAACTTTCCTTGAGTTCTATGAAACACTAAAATATTGATTGAACCCAGGAAGTGGGTCATGGGAACATCTGATTTATAGCCAGTGGTTCAGCAGCACAGGTGAAAACCTGTACTTGTAATTGGCTTCTGAAGTGGATTCCAGTCTTGTGGGACTGAACTCTTAACCTGTGGGATATTAGGGTATGCCTGGGTAGATATTGTAAGAATTCAATTAAGTTGTAAGTCACTCAGCTGTAGCCTGAAGACCTAGAGTTTGCTTGGTATGGGGAAGAAACCCCCACACATTCGGTGACCAGAGTGTCAGAAGTGAAGTATTGAGAGAAGACTCACAGAAGGTGTTTTGTTCTTTAAAACCTTCACTTCTTAAAGATTCATTTTGCTCCTATTCAGATGTTCAGTGTGTCAATCACCCTGTTCTCCAACCAATAATTATTTATTCCAGCTATGGGTTGGACAGCATTCTGGATGCAAGAAATGCAGAATGAATAGAACAATATAGTTAAACCTTTACTAAGGAGTAGAAAAACCAACTTTATTATGCATCTAGTGTAGCCTAAACATTACAGCATGAACATACACACAATATAAAAAGGATTGTTCTCCAACAAAGAGAAATAGATCTATAGTTACTGAATTATGATGTGTCTCTTGGTCTATTTGTTTTTCTCCAGCATTCTGCCTTGGAAAATTTCGTCCTAACCAGTGCCCTCTGGTTGTGAGTTTCTCTCATATAGAAAGTGTTTTCTCTCCATTTCCTTCCTAGTCTTTGTGGCTTCCTGCTCCCCTGGAGCTGCCATAGGCAATGTCAATGAAGAATGGTACTGTATCCTCTGACTTTATCCTCCTGGGGCTTCTGGTGAACAGCAAAGCTACAGGGATTATCTTTGCTGTTATTTTTGCTATTTTCATGGTGGCTGTAACTGCAAATTTGGTCATGATAGTCTTGATTCAGGTGGATCCCGCCTCCACACTCCCATGTACTTTCTGCTCAGCCAGCTGTCCATCATGGACACCCTTTTCATTTGTACCACTGTCCCAAAGCTGCTGGTTGACATGGTTTCTAAAGAGAAGACCATTTCCTTTGTGGCCTGTGGCATCCAGATCTTCCTCTACTTGACCATGATTGGCTCAGAGTTCTTCCTCTTGGGCCTCATGGCCTATGACCGCTACGTGGCTGTCTGTAACCCTCTTAGGTACCCAGTCCTGATGAACCGCGGGGTGTGTCTTCTCCTGGCTTCTGGTGCCTGGTTTGGTGGGTCACTGGATGGCTTCCTGCTCACCCCTATTACAATGAATGTCCCCTACTGTGGCTCCCGCAGTATCAACCATTTCTTCTGTGAGATCCCTGCAGTTCTCAGACTGGCCTGTGCCGACACATCCTTGTATGAAACCCTGATGTATATCTGCTGTGTACTCATGTTGCTCATCCCCATCTCTATTATCTCAACTTCCTACTCTCTCATCTTGTTAACGGTCCACCACATGCGCTCTGCTGAAGGCCGAAAAAAGGCCTTTACCACTTGTTCTTCCCACTTGACTGTAGTCAGCATTTTCTATGGGGCTGCCTTCTACACTTACGTGCTGCCCCAGTCATTCCACACCCCTGAACAGGACAAGGTGGTGTCAGCCTTCTATACCATCGTCACACCCATGCTCAATCCTCTCATCTACAGCCTCAGAAACAAGGATGTCATGGGGGCATTTAAAAAATTATTGTCACGATGCTCATCTTCTCAGAAAGTATCCACAAGTGATGCTTAGGGATTCAATACTGTGAAAATAGTCTTCCTGAGAACACCTCTGTGTGTCCTGTTTCACACGAGACTATTTGGTCAGCTATCAAAGATTATTTACAATTGATGATTAAGAGGATTTACCTTGTCTTGTTTCTTGCTCTCAGGCAGAAGGAAGCAAAGATGTTTCATTGAGCATGGAAAGACTTTTTTTGCAAAAAGAAGAGGAAGAGGAGATATTAGAGTTCACAGCAACTCCTTCTAAGTCCTCTTCGCATATAAGTCATGGTTAAAGAAAGCTACAAAATTTTTTTGTCAAAAATTCTGCAGAAAATAGTGACTGTCAAATACTAGTCCACAGTAAATAATGATTGAGCTTAACTAAACTATGAATATTGAATGTGAAGCATTGCATACTTATTCAAAAAGATCTGACTCTGATAGTCAACATCAAAGAGCACTACTGTGTCTCCTTCCATGTTATTTTAACAGCAACATTCTAGGAAGGGTGGAGTGTATGGGAAGAAAGTGTACATTGCTCAACTCTGAGTGAATCAACAGCAGGATTTGGATGCATTTTTAGTTTGGTTCAGAGTGAGACGGGAAGCACTTGAAGAGTATTCTGTAGAGGTGTAACTTGATAAGATGTACATTGTTAAAAGGATCAGTGTGTCTACAGTGTGGAAAATAGAGCAGGGAGCTAGGCTGAATGCAGGAAGGCAACTTAGGACACTTTAAATGAGAGACAAAGATGGATTGATTAGAGTAGTGACACAACAATATTTAGCTTGTGGAAAGGTAAATATTCATGGATAAATATTCCATGGAAAATATTCCAATGGGAAAACATTAAGATCATGTCTGTTAGGAAAGAATGGAGAATGAGAGATAATTCGATGTTTTGGGCTCAAGCACAAGGAAAATGAAATTTCTATTTACTGAGATTTTGAAAATTTCTAGAACAGCAGGATTACACAAGAGAAACCAGGAATTTAGTTCTTGAGACACATTTGAAATGCCTATGAGATATGTGAAGCCACCTGGGATTCAGTTTAGAGTGCTGGACTATAGGTGTAGTTCTGGTAGTCTTTATAGTAAAAGGGATGTTGAAGGACATAAGATCAGTTGAGATCACTTAGGTAAGAGGAAAGTTTTGAGACTGAGACCTGAGGCAACTGTGTTTAGTTGAGAAGTAAGTGATACAAGAGATTCAGATTGTTGGGTAAGAAGCAATATCTCAGATACACGGGAAGAAACTGTTCAAAGATGAAGAGTGCAATCAACTGCAACAGGTGCAGATTCTGTTGAATTATAATGAGAACTCAGAGTTGACCATTGCATTTGGCAACATCGAAATCACTTGTGACCTTAGTAAGAGCAATTTCCAATGGAGTTGTACTCAGAGAGGATTCATGGTAAAATTGGGGGGGGGAGAAAGTGGGAAAGATACAGTATAAATACAGTTTGTATTAATCTTTTTTTTTGTACTTGAGAACAAAGAAATGGAGCAGTAGCTAGAAGAGCATATCATATCAATGTGTTTTGTTTTCTCATGAGATTTAGATATGGTTAAGGAAGTGATTCTACACAAAGAGTAAATGATGACAGATTAAAAATGGAGAAAGCTTCTTCCAGAGGGGTGACCCTTGAGTGTGGCAGATAGAAACCAATTTAGAAGGGCAAGGTTGATTTTTCATGTGAACATAGCCAATACCTTGACTGTAGCAGGAGGTAAAGTACACCATATGTGACACAAATAAGTTCTCTTCTGATAGCTTCTATTTTCTCAGTGCAATTAGAATCCTGGATGGCTTTTGTTTGTGGACAGTAGGACAGGGAGGATTGTTAAAACTTGGAGAAAAGATGAGAGTCGTTTCGGAGAGCAGCCGAGTAAACAAAAAAGAGATTAGGATTGTAGGGTAGTCTTAGGACCCTTACTTAGGATCGATGAATGCCTTTAGCATAAGCATGTTTGTCAGATAGTACAGTAAGTGTACTCATTCTGTTGTCTAACAAAGAGTTTGCATGCAACATTCCACCTAAAATTAAGTATGGTAACAACAGTGACAAGCATAACAGAAAAAACTGCCACTAGTTCTACAGACTTAGAATTCCTTATGTGTGTGAAAGACGTTATCTTCATTTATGATTTTGCAGCGCCTAAATTTTCCAGCATGTAATAGGTGTTCACTATTGTTCGTTTCAATGAATAGTCGTCTTTTTGAAATTAAAGGTTGTATAACCAACATTCATGCTGCTTTGGAGCTTTTTTTTATAATAAGGTGTGATTTTCAGTCCTGAGATAACAACCTGTAACTTCAACATATTAATTATTTAAATTTAGGAGTTAAAGACACCCCCAACAATACATCCAGTCTTTAATCTGGTCTTTGTGATGGCTTCTCTGGTGACAAGTTGGATTCCCACTTAGTGTGAAACAATCTCCATACTGTAAGTCCTGAGTTATACTCAGTGAACATCCTTTGTGTTACAATAGATTTTATTAAAATTTTCTGATTTATACCTTTGTGTATGTCCAATAAGTGATTGGTCAGCATTTGATCTTATTTTTTATAGGGTTTTCCTATTCACGTTTAGTTTTTTTTAATTACTTCTAACCTGTAACACCAATTTCAGGTGAAAATTAAAGAGGACTTAAGATCAGAGACTTGAAGTTACTCATTGGTGTTTGAATCTTTTTTTTTTTTTTTTTTTAATTTCTGGGCTGTGTATCCTTGGACATATCACCTAACCTCTCTGTACCACAGCTTCCTGTTTTGTTAAGAGTTAATCAAAAATCAAGAAAGGGGAGAGGCTTCTTAGAACAGAAATTTTCTGAGTCTGTGACTGTTGCTTCTTGAGGTAAAAGAAGTTCTGCCTTTGTCATCTGGTCTCTTGGCATTCTTCTGTGTGTTCTCAAGGCACAGCTCTCACTAGGAGCCTTTTGTGACTGATTAAGTGGCGTCTACCTCAGATGCTGAACTTGTAGCCATTAGTGAATGTATCTGAGATTTTATATTTATCTCCATTTATCCCTTGGCTTGATGATCTGTTTCCACAGGGGGGAGAAATCTGTACACTAAAAAAACGTCCCCAAGGGGTTATTTTCAGATTCTATGTTGACCTCCAGTAGGTGTTACTAGGGGACCAATTTGGTATCATCCAACTGCCACCTTGTATATAGTTAACATGGCATTAATCTAAAACTACACAATATGTCCTTAGTGTTCCTTAAAACAGCATGTATGATTAAGGAAATAAAACAAACGAAAGAAACTACAACAAAAGGATATTAAAGACACCTTTGAAGGACTGATGTTGATTTTGTTTTTCTTTTTGTCATTAAATATTTTCTGCATTGAGCAAAGTTTTGGTTGACATCATCGTCATTATCAGAGACAATATTCTGAGTTTAAGACCATGAATGAGCTGTTTCAACCCCAATTCCATCACTTATGGTCTTAGGCAAGTCACTTAACCTCTTTGTGACTCAGTTTCTTTATTTTCACGAGCATTAAATGTCAACTATAAATGCAGCTTTTTCCTGACTCATAGTTCTTGTTTTAGTTGTTATCACCAGCACTATAGTCAGTATTCTTTTTTGAGGAAGATTAGCCCTGAGCTAACATCTGCTGCCAATCCTCCTCTTTTTTGCTGAGGAAGACAAGCCCTGACCTAACATCCATGCCCATCTTCCGTCATTTTATATGTGGGGCACCTACCGCAGCATGGCTTGCCAACCCATGCCATGTCCACACCTGGGATCTGAACCAGTGAACCCCAGGCCACCGAAGCAGAACCTGTGAAGCTAACTGCTGCACCACCAGGCTGGTCTCTATAGTAGATATTTTTGCCCCTGGTTCCCAGAGTACATTCTGGATCAAGGGGTCAAGCTCTAGGGTGTGAATCCTATGGGATATGGAGAGTTTTCTATCCTCAGGTGCCTGGACTCCCCATAGAAACAATTGGCTCATCACGACATCCACCACACTGATAGGGGAAGGATCAGTTGCAACATTGACATTCTTAGCGGTTCTCTATAAGAGTCCTGAAGTGTGAGCTGTCATTAACACATTATACTTACGTGTGCATCTCCATCAGACCCTAGTCCTTACATATTCTGTCTTGTTTTCACTCCATACCACTCTAGAAGCAATCAGGAAGGTACAATAAAATGTTTTGGTTTATTTAATACTCAACTGTTGTTTTTCTAAAAGTTTTCAGATTATGCAACCAAGGATTTCCTGTACAAGTGTTATTGGTGTTTTTTTATTGAAGTATAGCTGATGTATAATATGATATTACTTTCAAGTGTACAACATAGTGACAACGTTTAAATACATTATAAAGTGATCATCACGACAAATCTAGGAACAATCTGTCACTGTACAAAGTTAATACACTTTTGACTAAATTTCCTCTGCTGTACTTTACATCCCCATCATGTACTTATTTTATAACTGAAATCTTAAATATTTTAATCACCATTAACGTATTTCATCAATCTGCAACTTACCTCCCCTCTGGCAACCACCAGTTTGTTCTTTGCATCTATGAATTTTTCTATTTTGTTTTGTTTGTTTAGTTGTTTTGCTTTTGGATTCTACATATAAGTGAAATCATGCGGCATTTATCTTTCTCTGACTCATTTCACTTAGCGTAATATCCTCTAAGTCCACCTATATTATCACAAATGGCAAGCTTTCCTTCTTTTTTCATAGCTGAGTAATATATATCTCACATCTTCTTTATCCATTAATCCATCAGTGGACACTTATGTTGCTTCCATTTCTTGGCTACTGTAAATAATGTTGCAATGAACATAGGGGTACAAGTAAGTTTTTGAATAGTATTTCCCTTTTCTTCAAATAAATACTAAGTGGAATTGCTGAATCACATGGTAGTCCTATTTTTAATTTTTTGAGGAACCTCTGTAATGTTTTCCATTACAGAGGAATTTTTGAGGAACCTCTGTAATGTTTTCCATAGTGGCTGCACCAACTTACTTTCCCACTAACAGTGTATAAA